GTCACAAGCCCCACTCATTCGATTGTTACGTCGAAGCACTTCTTGAGGTCTGCGCTCACGATAACTGCATCACTTCGCACAGAAAAATACTTGTTGACGAAAGTGTCAACAATATGAACTCACATTATCACGACTGTTTAGCTGGTGTAAATTCAAGTCGATGTGGCCAAGGACGTATACCAACCAACATACATCACAGAAAATTGTTCCCTTGAGGCGTGGACAGTTAAGTCCTTATATGATTGTATGATTGACGCTGAGATTGAACCTGGCAAGTGGGGTGGTGGATCAAAATATGCTGCGTCGTCAGCCCGCCAAGCTGCACGAGGCGCTACCCGCAAGCCTCTGCCCACTTTCCCTACGACCACTATGTCTGGTCCTAGTCGCAAACCGCTGCTGACTGCTCCGACTTCCGCACCTTCTTCCATCACCACGGGAGACTATGAGGACGACGACTTTGACTGTTATGGCGTAAACCACCGTCCCCACCGACGACGGCTGCAACTACGGTGACGATGGCGTGGACTGTGACGATGACGGCTACCTCCTGAAGAGCTTCTCATCCGTTGACTGGGTCGTCCAATCCCGCAACAGTAAAATCGCTTCAAACTGACTCAGCATACTGTGCCAAAGTTTATACAATTTCAACTTGTCAGCATGACGGGCGATGGGCATTGTGGAGGGTGCTTGGCGGGCCCCAATCCTTGGTTGGTACACAGCATCGTGGGGCACTTTCCAACCCCGACTTTGCGGCCCAACGCTACAGACTCGGAAAGGAGTACAACCTCCAAGGACTTTACTAAAGTGACGTAAACACATGATACTTTTGCAGGCCCAGCCAAGATGGAAGTTATGGAAGTGCATTCCAAACGCTTACCTTCGACCTCGTGGGAAATATCTGCCCTTTTTGATGGACGGTCTCGAGAATTTCATGTACAGTTGTGCACCCGGAAAAGCGACTCAGGGAAAACATGCGGTTGCTCTGGGTAATTCCCATGCAGCGTTGTAGGGGCAATCCTGGAATTTCCTTGTACCAGTCCTTGACTGGTAGTAGTATTTCGGTACAAGTAAGATCTGTGTGGGGTTGACACGGTGACACGGCCTACCTGCAACTTTCCCGACGAGAAGTACGGTTATTCGATGACACGAGAGGCTTGGATCCTCGCTAAAGTTGAGGCAGTCCTTGGGTTAGATGTACTTATCTAGGTGCCTATCCGGATGATTTTCCGGTATTCTTCATTGTCCCGAAACATGCTCCCTTTAGCAGGCCGCCGTATGGACAGTTGTTCATCATCCACCACTCTCCACGCTCCGGCTCTAGTCGGGTTTCTCGCGCGTCGCCAACTGTGATCAAGGCGACCCCACCCTTTCATTCTCAGATACAGTGATACCTCACATTTTGCACCATCTCCAAAATATAAATTCTAACAGACCTCTGAAGACTACACATCAAGTACTTGACGTCGAATCATATTATGCAGTTGATTCATTTTGAGTGGGGTGCAAAATGTGAGGTATCACTGTATCCAAAAAAGCAGTCCGTGTGGACCTTTTCACGCCCACGAGGACTTTTTTGCACTTGGTCAGGAACATGATGCAAGCGCAGTCATCTCGAGGACGGAGCGAATGGGTGAGTTGGAACGTATGTTGAGGAATTCCCTGTTTTGCGAGAGACGGATAATCTTCCGGATAAGGCGATCGTTGCACCCTGCCGAACGAGGCGGCCTGCATGCGCGCGAATTGGCTATACGAGCGGATGTGACCACGTCGCTAGAGGAAGGCGTCATGGAGGGCACGCAGGGCATTGTTCCCTCATGCTGGATCTCAGCGGAGGACGCCCAAGTTCGACAAGTCGCTGTCCAGTCCCTGTCGCGGCATAGGGTGTCGCCGTGCCATAGTTTGTGTTGGTGGTCGAGTGTGCCAACCATTGTCGACGTCACCATTGCCCTCTTGCATTCTCGCGCAACCAATGCTTCTTCTATATCGTGGACCAGACACAAAAGAAATGTGTGCTAATGATTCCCCAAATACCTACCGTATGGTGGTGGGAGTGGGCCACCACCGTGGTAAATTCGCCTCGCCCGCTTGGCACTACAAGGGCACCCATGCGTGCAGAAGATACAGCCGGCCTACGCTCGTCACGTACAAAGCAGCCATTGCCAACAGCGCACTCGGCGACAACAGCGCGTGGATAACACCGATGGACGCCCGAGGCATGGGCGACGTTGTACGCTCGAGCATGGCGCTCCGCCAAACATTGTTCGCAGGAGCACGGCGTGGCCGCTTGCTTGATCATGACGTAGAGTCGTGGGCTGCCCCATGTTGAAGTGCCAGCTGGCATGGCTGCTGCTCCCCCAACACCCATCGCCACATGGTCCCAACGCGAATGCTTGACACCTCTCGTCTCGAACTACAATCAGCTGGCCCACGTGACCAGGAACCGAGTCGAACGGTGGTTGTCTTTGCACTAACAATCTAGACGCAAATCCCACACAAGCATGGCGACACACGAAAGTCGCTTCCTGCGCGACCAAAGCGCCCCCACGTCCTCGATCACGCAGGATGAAACGTCCGCGTCGGTCGTGTCCGACTCGGTGATGCTACCCATCATGGATATGAAGCCCCATACGTCGGCGCACGCCACCGCCGACGACGACGTCCTCGTCGAGCAATCCAACTGGATGCGGTGGTACTTGGGCGCGCCAGGCACTGTCCTCGGCACCGTTGTGGGGATTGTCTTGGTCGTCGTGCTGAAACAAGTTCCTGTGATCTACGACATGACCGAGGAAAACTCAGACTTTGCCGAGTACTTTCACGGCGTCGGCGTGCTCTACTTCCGAGCGCTCACTTGCGTCACGATCCCACTGGCGTTCATCAACGTCGCCATGTGCGTGTCAGACATGGTGGCGTCCAAGATGAAGCGCAAGCTCCAGTTGCTGCTCTTGACGACCTTTACGACCGCCTGCGCGTTGGCCCAGGGGCTCTTTTGGTGTTACTTATTCACGGGCTCGTTCGACAGTGATGGGTATATGGCGCCACTGGCCAATACCTCTGCTGTCATGGCGTTTCAGTGCCCGTCATTAAGCGGCGACGCGAGCCCTGCGACCCTTCGCCAAGACGTGGCCACGGGCGCCCTTGTCTGCGGCAGCGCCAACGACACCAACAGGACGACGGAGATTTTTTCGTTCAAGGACTTTCCGTTTTCAGCACGAAGCACGGGCCCTCGACTGCTGTCGTTTCCGTCCACTATTGACGAGATCAAGTACATGGTCAACCTCGTCGTACCAAACAACATGGCGTCCATGCTGATGGAGAACAACGTGATGGGGGTTGTCACAGTCGCCATCATGTTTGGCATTGCGTGTGGTCTAACGAGCCGCAAGGACAGAGACAATCGCCTGGAGGACATCCTGCGCGAATTCCACGCCATCTTCAAGACGATGCTGTCGTATGTCATTGCGGTGACCCCCGTGGCTATCATCCCACTGATCGCAGCACCTCTGCTTGCCCACACGCATACAGTGAGCGCGGACACCCCGCGCCTCGCTGCGTTCCTTGGCACGTTCCTCCTGGCCGCGACGGGCCATTGCGTCATCGTGCTCCCCCTCGTGCTCCTCGTGTGCACGGGAACCAACCCAATGCGATACATGGCGCTCATGAAAGAAGCTCTCGTGTACGGTTTCTCGTGCAGTTCGTCCAGCAAGAGTGTCCCCGTCGCGACGCGTTCCATGGATGGCTTGGCAGGCAACCGCAACGTCGCTCGGTTTGCCGCATCCATCGGTACGTGTATCAACAAGAGCGGCGGCGCGTTGTACGTGTGCATGGCTCTCATCTGGACTTTCCACAATGCCGGCCTCGGTGACCAGCTCACTTTTGTCCGCCTCGGCGTTGTCAGTGCTGTGTCACTCGTTGCATCGCTCGCGATTCCGCCGGTCCGCACGGGCGGTGTCGCGATTGTCGTGTCGCTTTTTACGTTCCTCAGTGGTGTGCCCATCACATACTCGTACAGTTTTCTTCTCGTCGCCGAGTGCATCTTGGACCCGCTCGCGACCGTGATCAACCTCTGGGGCAACGTCCTCGTCGCTCGCATCATTTCGTTCAACAGCGTGTCGTCGTCCAGGTCGTAGAGTCCCAGGTCTTGTGCCCCCCAACCGCTTAACTTATCCACATTTGTCGTGTTCTTTGTGCAATTTCATATTATCTACGCCACAAAGTTGGAATAAAAATCCCTCTAGAAAGTCAACTCATGTGAAATATTTTTTATTCGTTGGACGATCCCCAAACAAAAAGTGGTTTTGCCCTTGCACGAGGGATTTCCTCGACGAACAACAATTTCGAATATTTTCCAATATTTTGTGAATATTTTTCGACATTCTCACTCATCCACCACATTCGCAAGATGCGGAAAGGTCGTGGAGGACCAGGGCAGCTAAATCGGCGTGGATCGGGACGAAGCGGCAAGCAACTGGCCCAGAACAATGACGCAGTACCCGCACCATCAGTAGAGCTATCCAAGGAAGAGCATGCGGACTGGCGTGTTAAGTATGGCTTCATGAATGCCATCGACAAGCTGTACAGAGCATACCCGTGCTCAAAGAAGCCTCGTATGCCGTCGCCAGCTGATGTCGACCCTAGTTGGTACGTCACCACGACGCACTCGTCCATTTATGCTGGCTGAAATATCGGCAGGATACAAAAAATGCTCCCGGAAACTGTACGTGCATCCCGCTCTACCGGCACCGATTTGTCGTGCATAGCCTGATGAGTTCCTCAACAATGCGACTGCGATGCAAGACTTGGTGGAATTGTCTGACCCAATTGAATACTATCAAGACGGAATCAACATCGTTGTGACGGTCAGTAAAGCCATGTCCCTCCCTCACGCACAGCCATGGACAGTCCCATCGTCTACAGATCGCTCTCAAGATGAAACTTTGAGCAGGGCAAAGAACTTGGCGGGAAAACATCGTTCGTCCATTTATTCGTCAAGAAATTGTACCCTGACGCAGCCGACCGAAAACGCCGCATCCTACTTCTCGATGCTGCCACGATGGAGTACGCGACCATCCGACCATACCGGCATTGTCAACGCATGACGTAGTGAGACCATGTTACTGTCGAAGATGGACGGATTCAAGCGATTCTTCGACCACCCCAAGACGAAGCCACATCCGAAGTTCCCATACATCGTGATCGAAAACTTTCACCAGTACGTGAGGAGACGTTGCCAATTGATCGAGTTGAAGGCCGCCCCTATGCGATAGATTGAATCCGCGCATCCAGCAGCACTCGATTGGTCCCCAATGGGAGATCTTGAACGCGAAGGGCATCTTCTTCGTGCTCACGGTCGCGCCAGATGCAAACAAAGTCACGGAACAGATTAAGGTCGATCAATCTCCAATGATTGGCTTTTTACGAGAGTGACGTTATCAGCATGACGTTATTGCGCGTGGACGGTGGATTACGTGGCATGTTGATGACTTGTAGACGACGAGCAAGATCGTGAGGCTGCGACCGCTGGAAGACCTCCATGTGCTGGAAAAGGTCTTGATGGTGTGCGTCAACCAACGGGTATATATACATCGTCGCCCTGCCCATCGACGTTTTTCTCATTGCTTATTCGGATAGATTGGATTCGTTCGGCCAGCACTCGACTACATCGTCAAACGGCTGCGGCACGCCGTTGGCCCGTGCCTCGTTACACTGCAGCAGCTCTTCACCACACACCATTACCTGAGCATGGAAAACGTCAACCGGTTCTTTCATCGCACACTGCACATGAAAGAGTCGCTGGATCTTGTCGAGATGAGCGCGCCCCTCAAGCGGTGCAAAGTGTGCACGCTTGTCCCCCCCTGCGCCCATACGACTCTCGACCACATCCACAACCGCGTTCTCCGGCTCCGGGCAATGTACCCTCAGGACAACCAGCGCGATGTGTGCCCCGACTTTAAGCACACTGGTCTCTGTCACGTCTTCAATCGAAAAGGTCGGTGCATGTACGACCACCCGATGGAGATACACGCGATCGACACGACCAAGCTCGTGGCGCGCTGCAAGATACACACGTTGCCGCTGCCATGCACGCATTGTGCGACGTTAGCGACGTCCGTGGCGCGGGAAGTCGCGTTGGCAAAAGAGAAATCCGCCGTCGAAACAATGATCATCAAGCTCAAGAAGATGCTGGCAGACCAAGATCATGCCCTCCACGCCCATGTCAAGGCAACCTCAGCGACTGTCGTGTGGGGCAAGGCCAAGGAAATAATCGATGCAAAGACGGCCGACCTGATGGACGACCTCAAGAAGACACAGAGCAAATTGGAACATCTGCAACGACACGTTACGGATGAGATCATTCCAGTGCTGGAAGCCCTGCATCTCCAAAACCAACGAGGATACTGCAAGGGCCTGGGGAAGGGCGGTAACACGGTCGATGACCTTGGCCTGGCCGATGGCGGGGACTCCCATCAAGGTGAAGAATAGTGAAATTAGTTGTGTATCGATGGGGGCTATGACAGCAGACTGGGCTGCGTCCACCGAAGTGATGGGTTTTGTTGAACGAGCATGCCACGGCGCTCTTGTTCCTTCTGGACTTCCATGCTCAGTTTCTCCATGTAATCGCCCAAGTCGTAGCCGTATGGGTCGAACACATCTTTGGGAAAATTGGTTTGCATCTCTTCAATGCTGAAGTACTCGACGACTTTGGCCAGAATGTAAGGGTTGTCGAACTCCTTTTTGTTGCGCAAGCTCTCGATGAAGCTCATTCCGCGCTCTTTGTGCTCGAGGTACTTGTTGATCTTGGCTTGAAGTGTAGGATCGCAGCGTGCTCGTGGCAAGTCTGGCAAATCTGGAAGCGCCGGTACGTCTGGACTGCCATCCTCGTAGGTAGGAGGTACAAGATTGGTGACTCCGGGAGGACCCGCCTTGAATGCTTCACTCGATACTTCAGCGCCAGTACTCTCAGCAGTTGGTAGTGGCACATCACTGTCAATCTGGTCCTTCTCAGTCTCGCTGTCGGACGAGTCCGACCCATAGCCGGCGACACCCAACGGATTCGACATCGATATCGACGGCAACAAAAAATGGCGCTTGACGTGGAATTCACAGTAAATCGAAGTATTAATAGTTTAGAATAGAGCAATTTGACGAGACAAACTACTTCGAAATTCGCGACATTTTCTGACCAATAAAATTGCCTCAGACCCAGTTTGGATACCACGAAAAATGACAGAAAACACAGGTTTTCAAAACAAAATAACTTTTTTCTGACAATATTCACATTTTCTCCAAAACCGCCTTTGGCTGCCACAATCCACATGAATAAAACCCAAAAATACGTCAAGTATTTATTGTTTTGTGATAGAAAAAAAATGGAGCCATCAAGGTCCAATTTTTCGAGAAAAGGCAGCATGTCCTGTCTTTTCGTCATTCTCTGAGTGACCCCTTCAGTGAGTGACACTGAAGGGGGAACATCGTGACAATCTGGAATGACGAACTTGACGCTCTGTGGATCAACGAAATGATTCACCAGGCCAACGTGTTGGGAAAACGTTCCAACAATGGATTCAAAAAGGAGGCGTGGGTGGCAGCGCTGGCAAAGTTAAACGAAGTCCCTGACTGCGCGTTTACCATGCTGCAACTTAAATCCCGGAACACGGCGATCAAGGAGCGATTTTCTTTGCTTTCTCGCATGGCAAATGCTTCTGGAATGAGGTGGGAGCGGTCAAGGTCGTTGGTGGTATGTGTTTCGACGACCTGGGACGCATTCCTCGCTGGCAAGGGCAAAGACATGGAGCGTTGGAAGAACAAGCCGTTTCCGTTGTACGATTTGTGCGAAGTTCTCTACGAAGGCACCTTGGCAACGGGTGTGTATGCTCAATCATCAAGTGTCGCTTCCTGCAAAGTACCAGGCGTGATTGGGCAACTCGAAGACGACGAACACGATTCTCAGAATGGACGAAGTGAGGATGAAAACAGCACCATCAATGCGAGCATTGCAACAGCATCATCGAAGCGACCGTGTCCTGGCAGCTCTTCCCCTCCAAGACGAGTCCGGCGTTCAGCGGCATCCACGATGGCAGTCGAGCTCAAGTCACAAACTGAAAGTATATCCAAGGAACTGGCAGCGTTTGCATCGGCCGCCATTCAAGGTGATTCTGATAAGACTGTGTGCACTGCTGTTGAGGCGTCGTTGGACATACTGCAGAGCGATTTCGACTTGCTTTTGGACGAAAGCGAAATGTTGAAAGCCATTGATGTGGTCGCGAATGAAGCCAAAGCAACGGTATTTTTGCGACTGCGTGGAAGCTTACGAGCTTCCTGGTTACACCGACAAATTCTCATGGATTGATTGCACGCGATTTCGCGTTAGTGTTGCTAAACCGCACTAAACGACTGCTGTTTCGCGCGTGCTTGATCGTCGCAGATTGCGTCTTGTCATTGTTTCCTGGTATGTCCACATATTCTCCGCAATTCCGTCGCGCCATTCTTTCGCTTCGTTACTCTCCATTTCGGGATGATGCTGTGGTCTATCGGATTCATGTAGCGGCTCCCCTCGTCAAATTCGCATGTCTTGAATGGCTTGGGCAACGTAGACATCGTGGCGGCACCCATGGACTCGAACGAAGCTGTGCACGACACATAGCGCCATGACCAATTCGACTTGGAAGACGTAATCGTATTGCACCGGGGTCGAAAGCACAGGAAAGCGCCGTTTGAGGATTCCGAAAATCCTCTCGATAGCATTGCGTAACATGGCGTGGCGAAGATTAAAAAGTTCCTCTTTGTTCTGAGGCGCTTGTCGACCGCGTCCATACTCTTTCAAATGATAGCGGGTAGATCGGTATGGCGTCAAACACTTCGTAGTCAAGGCAAATCCAGCATCCATAAGATCAAATAGAGTCGCAGAAAGCCTGTAACCTTTAGTCAAAGCATCAGCATACACCTTCCCATCACCGGCGGAACCTTCCCATCCAGCAAGCACATAAGTAAACATCAAATCAAAGTCACATGCAGCAAGAACATTCATCGTGACACCTTTTCGACCCTGAAATGGAGCTACCAATGCTTCGGGCACCGAAACAGGAATATGGGTACCATCGACGGCCATGCGGCAATGCTCGAAGAACGGAAAGAACTTAGGATTGCCATAGATCTCTCTCGGCACTGTGCTGTCGTCCGATGGGATCTGGATGAAGGTCTGAGCCATTCCAGCAATGGAGGAAACGACTCTGTGGATATGTCGATGAATAGTCTCGCCAGAGTGTTGAAAACGTTGTTGGAGCTGAGCGCTTGACGCATGCTGACCAGAGACGAAGAGGAACATTCCCAACTGTTCCGTGACTTCGATGCGACGGGTACTGGACAAGCCACCATGGGTACTGAGCTCACGTGCCAGAGCACTGAATATTGCTTTCGGCATGCGAAAGTTTTCGACGAATGCGCTTTCGTTTCTGTGCAGCATTTCGTCCATCCACTGCGACCCGGAGAGAATGGACACACGCTTCGGCGTCTTGACGAGGTAGTTCGCGTAGAAGTATCTGCAGAACATGAGCAGAAAGTCTCTCCGGCGGCGCAGAACCCAATATCGAATGAACAGAGCGATCATGCGTCTGTTCATGGCAAATGTCGTCTGGAATTCAAATTCTTGAGGCGTCCAAACAGAACAACCACATTTTTTTAATTTGATTCGAAACTCCACTTTGAAACGGGATTTTTTTCATCTATTTTAGTTGACAATTAAAACTTGAGGCATCCAAACCCGGCCTCAGAATAATTCTTCTGACAAAATCTAAACTTCTATAAATGTGAAAGTTCCGGTCGTGTGAGGTTTAAATTGTCATATTGGCGCATAATTTTTTTGGCCAATTCAATTGCAGAGTTTCATTCATTAACCCTGATTGGCATTGATTTTTTAGTAACCATGAATACTTCGGTGTGGCTTACATTCCCTCGTTCTCTGTAATCAAACTGATTCGGTTTGGCGTAGAAGTCGGAAATTGCCAACAACTCAAAAAGCCGACCCCCTCCATAACATACCTATTGTAAAAAATTCTGCCACCTGTGTCCTTCAATTCCACTTCAGAAATGTAATTAATATTCCAATTGCAGGTGCAGATTACTGAAACAACTGTGACTGGCTGAGATAAACTCACCTGATTATAGCCAATCAAGTCGGACTGAGTTGCGTATTAATACATTTGTCTTTATTACCAGCATTTAACAGTAAGTATGAAAATACATCGGCTTTTTCCGGGGTTCACTGTGGTCAACTAGGAATACAGTACACCCAGCACATGAGGTCACGCGATGGCACCACTCCCCATGTACTTCCTCTGTCCCATATTATTCGTCGATTTGGCTTCTCAACGACCCCACAAATTCATTTCATTACCAAACTTGATGAAAGTTATCATTCAATGAAGAGCATAAAAATCCAAAGGAACCATTCATTGGCTGTCAAGAGCGTAACTTGAATTTTGGCGCCCAAAATCAACTTCTCATTTTCACCACCCGAATAAAAACACACCACATATAAAGATCAACACACATTTGAATTTGCCGCCATGCCCCAATCCTTACGCGAGGTTTCCTCAGCGCCAAGCGACACGAGGTGGTCCGACATGTACACCCCCCCTTAAACCCCTTAAAGCTTGATGGCTGATCCACGGCGCTTTCGCCAAAACTGCTAAAGAACTTGACGTCAGTGCGCTCGTGGTTTCCGCCATCTGGCGAAAGTTTCGCAAGAGCGGAACTGTCGAGTCCAACAAAACCAGGCAGAGTTGGTCCTAGAAAGCGCTACACGGTTAAAGACAAAGCCCTGTCTCGCTTCTCTTGTAGGCGAGGGCATAAATAACCAATGAAAGTGCTGAGAATTTTTGTAAGCCAGTCAAATGCGTTTGTGTTTCAGCATTATGGAACAAGTGTGTTTTTCAAATCGACGAGTAATGTGGGACAGAGGGAGTATGGCATTTGACATTACAATTTGTCACTTCAGGAGATACGTGAAAACGGCATAGAGGCATCTTGACGGCAACGATATACAGTACTGTACTCATATTCCACCAAATAAAGTATTCCCGGAATGGAATTTCCGTCAAGCCCAGGAATAAATATTATCCTGCCTGAGCAAAGTCATTAAATTTTGAGTCGAACATATGAAGTGAACAGTTGTGAATGAAAAGACAACACCGTCTCGACTCAAAGTGTTCGTGCATCACATCAACCAAGCTCAAGGCCGTCGTACTCATGAAAGCTATGAATGGCTACAAAGTTGCCGTAGAACCTTTCATATCACGATGAATTATAAGATATTGGACAGACTATCGTCGTTGTCTGTTTTACAAGATTTAGGTCAGCTATTAACTCGGTTCGAAGATACAAAGCTCTTGTCAACGCGTAGCGGCCGGAAATCCACTAAATTTACAAGGTATACTACTGTACACCGCTGCCCCTTCAAAGTAACCAAACAGCAATCAATGTGGTTCCAAGTTACAATTTCTTCGAGCCTCAATTGTACTGTACATCTCGAAGCATTTTCATTCAAAGTGGCTTAATCTCCAATCAGTTTGGCCAACCTGTAAAAATTCGATCGAAACGTATATTAGACTTCTTGTTCAATGGCTTAGTTTCAAGTCAGAACGTGGAAAGTGATCATTGATTGAACCACTGACAAAAATAAATGAATTTTTTCATTTAATACAAATATGTTTCTACGATTGAATGAAGTCGTTGTCGATTGTCAAACTGATCATTTGGTCTCTCACAAAAAAGCATATGTTCTTTTTTCGATACGGTAGGTTTGTTTTGTATCTTTTTACATGGACATCACCAGAGTACGGAACATTTGAAGTATCATGGCCCCACCAAACGATGTACTTTTGGGGATAGGTATTTGCATTAGTTGATGTAGTCATGCTGAAGACACGCTATATGGACGATAATTCTCCCTGGCGATGATACCACCTCGAAATTCCACTTTTTGCCTGCCATTTCTATGAATTCTGTAGCTGAAGACACTAGGTGGTTTTAAATAACCTTGCGTTTTTGCACATTTCGAATGCTGAAAATTCGGGAGAATATACAATTCTCGTTCTGCAGCTATTGCACTGTCTGGATTCCAAAACAGCCAGTAGACCTCTTGTTCAGTGGCTGTGTGTTGAATGAGAACGTGCTTACCGTTGTTTATCGAGGTCAATGACTGAAACGAAGATAGCTGATCATTTATTCCCACCTTTTCTCTGTGACTCGGGTAATGACAAAGTTGACAATCAACTTGATCATTTACTTGATCTTGTCGTTCCATATGTTTTGACTGATATTGCTTTCAAAAGTAACTACGGCTTGGCAGGTGGCTCAACCACCAGCGGTTAGAGCGACGGCATCCAAGCGATAGAGGAAGGGCCCTGTGGTTCGATCATGGGCAGTGGCAAGTCTTTTTCATAAACTTCAAGAAATTATTACATGAATATCGCAACGCAGTTTCAAGTCATTATCACTAAGTCCAGAAAATAATCAAGTGGAAAAGGTATCTTCGATTACAACTACACACTGACCAACGACGGTCAAATTGAGGTGAGGCCGCTTCAAGACGTCTCGCGCGTCGAGCACGATTTTGTTCTTGAGTGCGACTCCTTTTTCTAATCTTCTCGGCTGACATGCTACTGTACCGAGCTTGAGGCCATAGAGTTTATGCTTACCAGAGAAGCAGTGTTTGGCCTCATCAAATCGGCCAGTTGGGCGGTACGATGTTGAAACTTGACATCAGTGCAGTACCAGGCCGACGGAAAGTTTTCAAAAACATGGCTTTTGCGCACTTGCTCCGTCATTGTTGGCGGCTTCACGCAGTGCTAGAACAAGACAGGCTCCACAAGGTCCAAGACACGTTGGGCCATTTTCTCAAAGGTAGGAGCCTTCGTACCAAAATCCAAAGCGTGTTTGTCCCAAGCGTTGTAGTGCTTCAACACGGCAAGTGTCATGAAGAGGGCATCCTTGGCGGACACAGGAGATTTTCGTCCCCGACCGAGCGTCCACGCTGAAACCAGGACGGACTCGACAATCGCCCAGACCATTTTGAATTCGCATTGAGTGAGATTTACCATGGTGGCGAGGGCGTTGTTGCCACCTTGGAAGTAGTAACGATCCATGATGGGTGTTGGGAAGTCCTCCTCGACTTGTTGAGAATGTTCGAGGTTGATTTGGCTCATCTCTTCCATGTTGAGGTTTTCGTCCTCAATTTGGCGTTGAAGACGTTCGAGAACCGAGTTGGGTTCTATTGGGGGCGTTGGGAACAATTGAATTGTGATTGTTGCGATAGTTATGGTAGAGGTGTGCAGAATCGTACGAGCTATACAGTTACGTAGAAGCAAGTCAATTACGTTGCAACTTTTGTATTCCTTTGCCATCTTGCAATTCATGACGTGAATTCTTCAGTGATTCAATCACATGGCATTTGCCCGATATCAAGTGTGTATTCGCTGAATTACTGAATACTTGATCACCTACAAAATTTGATACGACTTCTTAGCCGAACGTTAATATCAACTTTCGCAACTCAACAAAAACTGCGTAAATGCACCAGAGATCTATTGTAGATGAAGAAGAAAAATATCCAGTAAAGTCCAATCCACAGAGAGGGGGTAGCAGTCGATTTGCATGATGGAACACAGCCGTTCCGTGTGGGCGGATGAACGAGACGCGACTTGGATGATTGAGCTGATCCATCATGTTCTTGTCCTTGGAAAGGAAGCGTGGCAAGCCGCGCTTGACAAGCTCGGCGGACAAGTCGTTGAAAGCAGTCGATTGTCATTCGAAAGTTCTCAACTACCCAGTGCGGGTTGCCACGAACGATCTCTTCAACCCACATGCGACCTGTGAGGATCGACTCGCGCTTGGGGTTCTTGAGCATGTAGGCATTGTAGTGGTACACGATGTACATCATCATGAGTTGGCGTCGACGGCGGAAAGTACGCAGCCGCAAGAAACGCAAACACAACGCCTGCTTCATGGGGTGCAACGCAAGTTTCAAAATGCAAGTCTGCGCTGTATTTTCGGAATTGCGGTTTTCCTTCAAAACTGCCGTTTGGGAATAAATTTTCGGGCACCCAGACAGCCCTTTCGCATGATTCAAGTTTATTTTCCGAACCTTGAATTTGCATGTTCTAGGGGACTTACTATGGTATTGCGTTGCATCCAGACGGGCCCTAAGTGTGTGACCCGGGTTCAAATCCCGCTTGTATTAATTTTTGGAATTCTTCGATATCAAAAAATATCAAATCCAAGAAATTCCAGCTAGAAAAACGACTGTCGTCGATTAACCTTGGGCGACGTGAGCTCCAGTCGCCTTGCACGACGGGCACTATACCGAGTCTGCGCTCGACTGTGCCTTCTTGTCGCCTCATTTGACATGCTGCTGTAGCGAGACAAAACATCATACTGATTTCCCCCCGACTTTGGAACAGGCAAAAAAGTGCATTTTTGACAGTATATAAGGAATCACAGTTATTAGTTTTCACTCAAGATTGGCTGAACCGATGGTTCGCTGTCAAGAATGCCAGTTCGTTTCCAGCAGTTTGAGATGGTTACTTGCGAAACACTGCGCCATGTCTCCTTCGACCAGGCCATGGCCTAGATCAGAGGTACGCGATGGCGCGTCCGACGGTCTGCTTCGATGGCGTAGAGCACAGATTGAACGTCTCCTTAGCCCAAAGTGCCAGCTCGGAATACGTCAAATGTGGTTCTTGTAAATGCTTAACATGCAAGGCATGTTTGTCGCCCAACATCATGCGCAGCTTCATCTCTGAATTGACTTTATCCACATTGATATCATGCATGCAGGTGAATATTTGAATGAACTTTGTCATTTGATATTATTCATTTCCAGAAATTATCGTGATTTAGCCGTTCCAAAGTCGGGGGGAAATCAGTAGTAGTAAATTCCGTCAGTACCTCGTTGCGGCATCTACGACACATGAGCGTTGGTGAGTGCACAGCATAATCTTGAGACAACGTCAAAACGGTTTTTGTTCCACTTGTACGTCTCGCGCATAATTTTCCAAAGGCTGCAGATCCGACCAAAATAATTCTCGACGAGAACCCAGTCGGAAGACACACGCCCATTTCGTTCCAGCTCTCGGGCTGAGAGGAGTCCACCTTGGGGTCTTCGAGTCGAGTGAATTGCTCGAACCTCACTTCTTAACCCTTGATAGCCCATGTCCACAAGGACACTCCAAGAGTCTGGGTACTCGTCGGAACCTTCGTCATGGCCCACCGTGTCCAATTCGGGCGCTGACTTCCGAATCATTTCTTGGTGGATATGCCGACGTTGCTTGAAAATGGTCAAATCAGAAACTGAGTCTGGTGTGTGATCTGGCATATCGACTGCAACCCCGGGGTAAGCAACGGAGTACTCTAGCTTCATACCGTAGAGCTTGTGCTTTCCCGAGAAGTAGGGCTTGGCCTCGTCGAAACGTCCAGTTGGTCGATACGAGGGCTGAAACTTGACATCCGTACAATACAGTGCTGACGGAAAGTTGGCAAAAGCATTTCCTTGTTCGACTTGACGGGTCATGTTGACAGGCATTACATAGTGCTCGTATAGAATTGGTTCAACGATGTCAATGACACGCTGGATCATCTTTTCGAATGTTGGAGCCTTCATGTTGAAGTCGAGGGCGTGTTTATCCCAAGCATTGCAGTGCTTAAGCACAGACAGCAGCATGAAAAATGCATCCTTTGGTGAGGTTTTTGACTTGCGACATGGCCGTGAGGGCACCTGATCCATCATGCCAGGCATGCTGCGTCCTACGGCTCATGAGATTTTTAGCCAATCATGCCGCGACGGACGATTTGGAATATAAATTCACGTACGCTCAACTTGAACGAACGTGAGGAATATTTCTACTCGTTGGACAATCTTGAGATATACCCTTAAATAGTATGGATTTACGAAACACGAAGCCCTCAAAATATATGGAGTTACGAAACAAGTTTGTTTCGTAAAGCCCATATATGTAAATCATGTTGTCTTAAAGTTTGTATGCTACTGGATATACAGGTAACGATGGGATATAACGCCCACCGAAGTTTAAGGAAATGTACCACTATACGCGAGAATATTTAAGCCAATCATGCTCTACAATGAAAAATGCCTACGCTTAATTGGTTAATAATAAAATTCGCGCGCCCGCCAACTTTAAATGACCTGCTTTGCCACTC